AGAAAACATATGTCCAACAAAGCAAAGAGGGTTATTATGTATGTATTGTCCCGTCAGCACGCCTCTGGGCACGAGAAAATTGCTTTCCAATCCTCGGACTTTCCCTACTCAAGTTATTACAGTTATACGTTTCTCTGCAACCCTCTTTCACTTTTGTCCGCAGTGGAGGAGTACCAGCGCGCGGTGAAATTTTTACTCAATTTTCTTACAATAATATATTGAACGGCTAACGTCTTTATTTAATTACGTTAATTCCTCACTTTAAGTAGCATCCCCTCGGTCGAGAGCGAGCGGTTTTCGAGGGAGGTTAATTAGCATTTAAAATAACGGGCGAAAATTTCCAATGGGAATTGAAGGGAAATCAAATCTGTATGACATATTTTCTACAATGTTTGCGTTTTCCGTTTAGTGAGTCACAGTAGAGAAGTACACCCTCCCGCTAGCTACCCGATACACATATGCGACCGGCTAAAAGAAGGGTGGCCCTGTCAGAATAATGCGCAGTTAATTGGATTTGTTTATGCGTGTGTTGCGTTTGAATATAATTTTGAGTGGGTCGGAATTGAATAAGCTTGTTTAGGGAAATTGTTATTTTTTTATTTCAAATTGCCATTCGCTTCAATTTACTCGTTCTAACGTTTCGTTATTATTAAGGGCTTTAAAACTGAACAAAGAAATATAATTATTTATAACGGGCGGCCATAGATAGAAACGATGGCGTTTTACAAAAACGAGATTAATATTTAAAGTGAACTATAAATTAAGTTGTACGGCGGCCGTCATTTTCGTAATTCAATACGACGCGACGTCAAGGAACTGGGCTTACAGGGAGTTTGTTGTACTTCCGTTCGATAAAGAGACACTTTATCACACTCGCATCTATTGTTCCGGACAGCTTACGGACTTTTGTTCTTAGGAATTAAATAAATATCAGAAGGCGCAGCCCCTTTTAACATAATTTGCTAATTACCGAATACCTTTCCCTTAAACGCTAGGCAAATAGTATGTATAACGAAGTGATAGATCAATGTCGAGCATATATTAATACATTATTTAGATCGGTGTATTAGACAGAAAAGAAAAATCAATTAACTAAAGTAAATTTGGCGTTCAATCAAATAAATATATTTTTGATATGGTCGAAATGGTCGAATGGTTTCTTGTTCCAAAAACAACTTTTATTTAATTAAACTCATTATTTAACACAGGTCTACATTTAATTAGATTAGTATTTTTTCTATTTTCATACAATAATTGTTTCAATATTCTCTTACTTACCTACCTGAATCGAGTATATTGCCGTAACGCTCAGCATGTAGCAATTTGTTACAATATAGGGGTTGAAAACTATTTGGAATTAACTTTCTAAAAAACAATTTTACCGACGGCTAGATACAAACAAATTCACAGATTTCGCAATCCTTGCAACCATCGGAGGCGTTGGAAATAACCGTACAGCGCCATATGTAAAACACAAATAACCCTTACTCATACGGTATCACTATTTTGATTTAATTCGCGATACTTCCGTACTTACTGTTATAATTTGCGAGGTTTGTTCGAATTCGGTTATTTACAGCCGAAGGATTATGGACTGACGGAAGATTTTGACGCGAACTGTGTCCAAGATAAAGATGTCTATCATAGAGATCTCGAAAACCGTAGAAGATACGAAGATTGTCAAATTAGGAAAAATATGCGCAATTAAAGAGTTATTATGGTTTAAAGAAAATAAATGAAAAGATTCATTTCGGAGAAATTATCAGTTGAATTTTTTATATTGCCCGTGAAAAAATACATACTGTATTGAGGAGCATTTTTTATTACACGATGAACGGCAAACAAAAAAAAAAACAAAAATTGGAAACTGTTGGTTGCAACAGGTTGGCGCACCCGCACACAACGCCCTAATCGTGCGAGATCGGAGAAATTTTTTGGAAAATCTAAAATTTCTCCGATGGGTAATCTCGCACGATTACGGCTTTGTGCGCGAGTGCACCCTCCTGTTGAAACCAACTGTCTCCCACTTTTGTTTCTTTTTGTGGAAAAAATATCATTAATATTTGACCACGAAACGCACGAGGCTTGTTCAGACAGGTTTCATATAAGTTTCATTTTTATTGACAGTTGATTTTAATGGCTTACGATAGATTTTGTAACGGGAGCATGTTAACGGATGATATCTGATTTAAATTTTACTTAAATTTTTTTCGATTTTGTAGATGGTTAGTGGCCCATAAATACGTTTTTCTTAAACACGAAACTACATTCTGCGATCCTGAAGACTAGAAGAATGTAATACTTCGTCGCCCGTCTGAAGCGGTCTTTAATGACATTGACACTTACCGTCGGATTACCTAATTTTAGTGCCCGTGTTTTAACTTCAAATCAAACAAGCCATTTGTTATACGAGGCCTAAGAACTTGTATCGACTGTCCTTTCCAGTCATGTGGATCAACTTACCATGTCCTGGTAAATGGAAAATTTGTTCGATAGTTATTCTCGCACGATTAGGGCGTTGTGTTTATATTTATTTATTATTTATTTATTTATCGGTATCACTATTGTGTGCCATACATCGTTGTATTGGTAATAAAAAATTCTACTCAATACAGTATGTACTTTTTTACGGTTCGTATAAAAAAATAAATTAAACAAATATAGCAAACGAGCTCCTGGGTATGCCTATAGCATGTGCAAAACCAAATTCGAAACCTGATGTTGCTTTTATTTAAAGTGTATATGTATGAAATTTCATTTAATTGCTTCCATAAATGGCGTTAAATTTGTTTTTATTCCAAGTGGCTATGTATGAAATTTTATTTAAATGCCTCCATAAATAAGAAAGATGGCACATGCAATTCGGTTCATAACTAACGGAAATGTCAAAAGGGCCTACTTTATTTTTTGGTGTACATTGCCAATTCACGAACTTCGATTTACAAATTTGATAAAGAATCCACCTGAAAAATTTCATCGTAATCGGTTCATTCGTTTATGAGTTATCGTGCTAGCGGACGGACGGACAGACACCGCAAAAATTATAAACTCGCTAGGAGCTCGTTAATAAAGTTGATCTGTTGAAATAACATAAGAAAAAGATTAGTGCTGCTTCTGTGTTATGTTGAGAAGTATTTGAGTTTTTTTTTTAATTTTTGCCTTTGCCTGTCACTAAAAAGACAAACAGAATTTTTTCGTCCTTGGCCGTAGACGTAGAGGGGTGAATCTACGGGCATTACATAGCTTTCTACAGCGAGTGACAAGTGACTGGTAGTGACAGTGACTGACACACAAACAAGTCATTCCTTCAAGTTTCTCTTCGTCCCGATTTCTCTCCTTGTTCCCTCCAAAGCTTTTTAAAGTTCCCAAATTGCCTTCATAGCCTCCCAAGTTTCTCTGAATTTCTCATATGCCGCCCTTAGCTTATTACACTTTCGGCGATTCAAAAACTGAAAAATAGAGGTTCTGTTTAAAACACGAATATGTTTCGACCAGAATTTTACCTGATAATATTGTAACGAATTTTTTAGAGCACCGTCAAGGCGCCATCAGGCCGATTAAGGATTAGTCAAGGGCGATAAGGAATGAACGCGGACGTGACGCATTTTTTACATGAAACATGACATGCTGCCTCTAAAATTCTCTAGAATTGTGTTTAAGAGAAGAGTCAAGATCGTAGTCGAAGAATAAATAGTGAAATTCGCAGTGATAAATAATAACTAACGGCTATAAATCAATCTATTATAGTCAAAAATCTTATAATGCTTCTTCACCAATTTTTCAACCTTCAAACCGCTACCAAAATTACAAAAAAAATCTTGCCATTTTTTACACCACTTGCTCAGGACGCTACTTATAAATGCTGAAGCTGTTTGTCTGTCAAAATGTTTTCATGGCTAGCTAGTTACATAAAAATGTTCCCTCGTAATAACGCACAACAGAGTTAATGTTCGAGCCATATCATTTCAGTTTAAATTCCAAATTTCAGGGATAGCTTTTTCCCCCTGATAAGGGTTTGCGTCTACGAGATTGGAAAATCAGAATTGATATTCTCATTCAAATGTGCGTGCAGCATGTTCTTTGAATGAAAATGCACTAGCATTTTGCCCTTAGGTCGGGTTCGCAAAATCGCAACACTACCAAGTGCAACCAAGCCACTAGTTCTGTTGCTAACTTTGCAGACATTTTGGTAACACCTACTGGTCTGTAATGCATTAACACTTTTTATCATGAAAAATAAGATCTTGAAGAGTTCTTTGTTTCGTCGTATTTGCAAATGAATCCTGGTAAGATCACGATCGTGAGGTTGCAAGAATGATCCGATGGACGTATTTGATTACAGTTGCCTATATGGAATCATGCAGATGGTAATTTATAAATAGAATATTGTTTACTGTAATTACTTTTATTATTTATCTGATTTATTTGATGTAGTCATTATAGTATTAATTTAAATACCAATTATGTTCTCCACCTATTTACATGTAACACACACACACAAAGTTGTTTTCATTCGTTTTTACGAAGTAATTACACTGACTTTAATTACCTACCGATGTTTGGTATTGTAATTATTTACATAATTACGAACCATATATGGGTATCATAATACAATTATGTTATAATTGATAAAAAAAGGTCAGTTTTTCTGTCGGTAACAAGACGTTCATAATAAAATAATTTATTGTCGACGGTGCGCGATTGATTATTAATTAAGTTCTGGGAATAAGTGGAAGTACAAACTTCCTTTACCAAGTAGTAAACGAACAAGGGGAACCAATAATCAATTTCTGGTTATTAGTCGATCACGTGCTAATGTAATAATCGGTGGGTAAAGTGGAAACAACTAACTTTAATTCTTGATTTGAGCTACCTGATGGATGCCGTAAGAACTGTATGACGTAGGTATTAATAAAATGCATGCTGCTGCTAAAGTTAGATATTTAGCGTAGAATAAATTAATAACAAAGCGTTAGTAATGAAGAAATGTTTTGTTTTAGGCCTGTAGAGTGAAATGGGCGTTCCGGAATTTGTAGGACAAATTTTACTTGCCTATGTTATCGGTGTAAAATAGTTGGGTAGGAATAATGGGTGTCCTACGACCAATCCCTGAGTCCCCCTATTTCTTTTTCTTTTCTTCTATAGTTATGGATTTGCAACTGCACAAAAAACAGCAAAAGCACCACATTAAATTCCTGCACGTACCTTCAAACTGAGTAAATTGGGAAGTAAAAGACGCATTTGCACAAATTTAGACTTCATAATTACGAAGATGCTAAATTCCTTCTTGTTGTCATTAAATTCATTAAGTTATTCTCCAAAAAGTATACTTAAAACACATGGAACAAATGGAAATAGCCGTTCTGATTTTCTAATTTCGTAGATGCGATCCAGTATAGTTGGAAAAGTATTACTGAAATTCGTATTCCCTAATGAAAAGATAATCGAACACTAAAAGTGTCTACTTGAACTTGTTATTCTCCTGGCATGCAGAAACTTCAAATTTGCAAGAGAGTCTTTTAAAGCTCTCTAGGAAATAATGGTTCCAAAAATCTAAGTAGAACAGGTCGATTTAAGTAAGGTATAAAGTCGCAAGGTAATGGTAATGACTAATGTTGCTTTTTCAGGGGCCATGTTCGATTTTCTACCCATGAACTTTTTTGTCGGTGCGCCACTGGTAGATTCGAGGGTAGATTACAAAATAAGAATTTGGTTTTCTGATTTGTTTGGACATTTATTAGTTTTATTATATTAGTTTTGACCGTTTGCATTTGTATTTAGGAACACCCTGTGTAATTCATTCAACAACGAAATATAAAAAAAATCTTCTTTAAAACTTTTTTTTAAATTCTTTTTTGTTAACATTAGTCTATGGGCCAACTGGCTAAATTTAAGGAAATGGTATAATTTGGGGGTACCAATTTTCCTTTTTACCACGGTTAAACACATGCATTAGGATTTAAAAAAACGATAATTGCCATCTCAAAGTGGTAGCTAATAGAAATGGCGGCCAATCTAAGATGGCGGATGTTGAGTTTTATAAAATTAACTATACCTATCTTTAGAACTATTGGTCCGACTTCATCATTTTCTTAAATGAAAGCTGTACAATATTGTCATAACTACATTTCCGATAAAATCAACAATTAGTAACTAATGCATGAAGTAAACGAACGGAATTTTTTTTAACTCTTAAAATTTAATGAAAACTAAATTAACCCCATCGGTACTTTCAAAAGTTTCATATACACTAAAATCTGCTCCTTCTTCCTTTTCTTCAGTGACGTATCCACAAGTTGGCAGTTTGCATGCGCTTGTACACTTTAAAGTTATTAGCATTACGTAATGGTAGTTGTCAAGAGCCAGCTTGGTAATTCTACGTGGTGATATGGAAGCCAAACTTAGGGTTATCTTTCATCTTTTTGCTGCTTCCGGAATAGCATCTCTTTGATTTTGACGTACAATTTTCCAATGTATTTTTTGTTTTATATAATCTACTTATGTCAAATTATCGGCACAGTATACACCTTTCCATCAATATTAACAAACTCTGACGTTATGGCTAAAAGCCGTATTTGATCGTATTTATTGCAAGACAGTCAATCTTGTCAGTTGTAAAGTTCTTGTTTAATAATAATAATAATAATAATAATAATAATATATTTATTGAGTTATTGTGTGGGTACACTTACTCTAGTCAAGTCTCATACATATGTAATTAACAGACACAAAGGCATATAAAAAGTACATACAAGTACAACAAAGAGACATGCATATTCCTTACTCAATTCTGCGACAGTGACTTATAAACTCGTCAATTGAATTGAACGCATTTTCTATAAGTACGTTTTTGATAGAAGTTTTAAATAATTTTAAAGGAAGTATTTTTATATGTGCGGGAACACAATTATACAATACCTGCGACTGATAAGTCAAACCATTTCGAGTTTTTGTTAGTCTAGAAAAAGGTAGCCTTATGTTGTCCTTTTGCCTGGTGTTATACGAGTGTACATCTGATTGAAGGACAGTTGACACCATATTACTTTTGACTAGACATACTGCTTGCAAAATATATAAACAATGAAATGTCATAATTTTTAAAGTGATAAATGAGACACGGCAGTCGTCTCTATAGTTTAAACCAGAGAGTACTCGTATGGCTTTCCGTTGCAAACGGAATACACTGGACCAGTGGGAACTGTGTCCCCATGCCAAAATTGCATATGATAACGTACTTTGTATAAGTGCGTAATAAGCAGTTTTCATTACCTTTAAGGATACATTGTTTTGCAATTTCCTTAATAAAAAAAGTGATTTATTCATTTTTTTAATAATATTAGTACATGAAAATTAAGCTGTGGATCTATTACACAACCCAAGAGGGACCTTTCCCTTGTTGCAAGATAGGGGTCGGTGGTCGGTCGTTCTTAATGATAGGGGCATTATAACTGTTTTAGATTCATTCAGTAGTAGCTTATTGTCTATACACCAATTTGTAACGATTTCGATGGCACTTTGAGTATATGACAGCAATACTGAAGTCATCGTTACATGATAGCAAGGTTGCGTCATCAGCATAAAGAATGCAATCCATGTGTTCAGGCAACACCATGGGCATATCGTTTATATATATTAAAAATAACAGGGGGCCGAGTATAGACCCCTGTGGAACTCCCCGTGTTACAGGTAATGTCGGAGAAATAGTCTGATTCATGCGCACATACTGGAACCTATTGATTAAATATGATTTAATTAATGCTAAGCTTGAATCATTAAAGTGGTACACGTATTTTAATTTACGAACTAATAGATTGTGGTCGACACAATCGAATGCCTTAGATAAATCGATAAATGCCGCTACCAAATGCTGACCTCTTTCAAAACATTCGTAGGCATTATTAACGAAGGTAATAATTGCATCAGAAGTTCCACGTCCTTTCCTAAATCCAAACTGTTTGCGGTAAAATAGACCACTATTTTCGAAAAAGTTAAGCGGAAACGTGTGTCACGTTTTACGAGGAAGTTAGTGGAAGTGCTGTGTTTATCGAACAGGCGTCGCTTATCTGAAGCCTTTATTTAAGGTTTTCCCAGTACTCGTTAAAGGGAGTTTTTTCACCATTAAAGAGCCAATTTTACATCTGTAATTACAACGAACCCAGTGTCGTCCAAATTGAGATACAAGTTCAATTAAAGTAGAGAAGTGAAGGTTTAGAAACATAATCCGCACATACCAATTTCATCATCATTTGTTATCTGATCATGGCTCTTCAGCTACAATATATCTATAGACGTAACTACAATGATTTTTGTATTTAGTAATTATTTTAATTTTAATTCAATTGTTTGATCAGCTAAAGCTGTGAATAATCGTTTACTTTTGGTTGTCTTATGAGATTTTGTGTATCTTCGGTTTGCAATATTTATTAAACCGAATTTATTTTTGCGTATCTTGCATATTTTAATATCCTTTGCATTTACATGATAGAATTGCATATTTTAAGATGTATTTAAATTTTTGTTAGACTTAATCGATTTTAATTTTAATTTTTAATACATTTTTTCGGATTGTTATTACGGACGCGATAATGAAACATACTGCAAAAGCCGAAAGGAAGATTTATTGATTTAATTGATGTTTAATTTCATCATTTCCAAACTATTTTATCTTTCTCTTTCTCTACGGTGATGATGGGTGATATTGTGGAAGGTTTGGAAATTGCTCCCAATAGTTTGTCCTTTTCTAATGCACCTATTACTTTAGTTGATGTAGAGTAGGTATAGTTTCTCTGCTTAGTGCTTATAAATTAATTCTTAGCGACAGGAGACAATCATTTCGTGCAGAAAACTTAAGAGAAACATCTTATTGTGAGTGTTTATCGTAATTCCTTTTTTATTAGAAATTATGCAACATATATAATTTTGTATACGCGTGCATATATATCAAAACCGTTTGCATATTTTTCACTAATATTCTGCAATATGCGCATAATTTTACCAATCATTGTGTATTAATACAGGCAGTAAAGAACATTCGGGAAACAATTTAAAAAAACATTTTTTTAAATTACTTATTAACAGTTGATTTTATCGAAAAAGTACTAGTAACAATATTTATAGCACATATAAAGAGCTTTCAATAAAAAAAAAAGATTAATGAAATTGGATCAATAATTCCAGAGATATAGTTTACTTTATACAACTCTACATCCGCCATCTTTGATTGGCCGCCATTTCTATTAGCTACCGCTTTGAGATGGCAATCATGATTTTTTGGCATCCTAATAAACCTGTATAACCACTGTAAAAAGGAAAATTGGTACCCCCAAATTATACCGTCATGTCGACTGGCCCATGGACTACATAAGATGCACGACTGTACCTATTTGTTTCTCAATCACGGACGCTGTTAATATAATAAAATAGAAGGAGGCAGTAGACTAGGTGTGCAGAGTTAGGTGGGTCATTTGCGATTAATTTGATTTAATCGCCAATTATGCTGAATTTAACTGAAAGAGAAATAAGTTATTTCAAAAATTATATTGACCCAGCCAACCTCACGGAGCCGCGGACTTTTTTATAAATGATTTTTTCTTATGCACAAATTAAGCGCTAATTGTGCGCCTTTCCACCGTTGGAATGGAATGTTGCGCCCGAGGTTGCGCCTTAATAGTAAATCGATTATTCCAAAGCCATTATCGCGCAGTCGCCGACCTTTTCATTAATGAAATATTCAATGCTAATTATGCGCCCGTATACAATGAAATTTTGCGGCCTAGTAGAAAATGCCATATTTCCAAAACCATTATTCCGGCTAACCTCGCGTAGCCTCGAACTTTTTTATAAATGAATTGCTTTTTATGCAGAAATTAAGCACTAATTATGCGCGTTTGGTAACATTTTGTGCCCTAATAGAAAATTGTTTGACATAATCTTCGCCGTTAGGTTAAAAAATATGCCTTGCATCTGTAAGAACTGAGCTACGTGAATCTGGCCGCCGTGGCGGTAAAATTTTTGAAATAATTTCTTTCCCAATGAGGCGCAAAATTGCATTCCAATGAAGCTAAATATAAAGTTGACAGGGAAAAAGATTTTTTGAATAACTTATTTTCTATTGTTGAGAATTGTTGAGAGAAGTTGCCAAGAATATGATTTTTGAAATAATTCATTTTCTGCAACAGCGCCAAATTTACTTAAACAGCACATTGGCGCCTAATTATGCATTCAATTGAATCAAATTAGTGGCAAACCTACCTTCACACGCCTCTCTCGCTATACCTTCCAGGTTCTGAAATTGTCATGATTTTGGACTTTCTGTCTGTCCGTCCGTCTGTGTACATAACTCGCGAACGATTTCGAATCAGACAATGGTCAAGAGACTAACTGCCTAATTTTGGTCATTTGGACTTCTTGTTCGCCCGTCTGTATGTTTGTCGCTCGTTTATATTTCCCGTTTCCAAATTTAAAAGAGACTGCCAGGCTCAGAGATTTGGGTCCAGCGATAATCTCGACAAACCTAAAAATCAAGATTCTATAAAGAATTCCTTTTTCGTAGAAATAGTGTACGTAATCATCACGCAATATTACTTTACGTGGTGCATGTAAACGATAGGTGAGATACTTTTTTCGTCAATCATTAAACAAATCATTTATTATTTATGCACTTTCTTCATTACATTTATAATCGAAGACTGGGATTTCCTACTTCGTTTTCTGTCGTTTGCTCTGCTAACTGAAATGGATTTCTTAGCATTTCGGTTATTAAAGACGGTAAAAGCCAAGTGGGGAATAATTTTAATGGCAA